ATAATGAATATGAGACAAGTGTCGAACCTTCTACTCAAAATATTGAACCCAATGACTCTTATTCAAATTATGAAAAAAAAATTGAATCAGTTAACGGTAAAGAAACTAAGACTTGTAAAATTCTACGTTTTAATAAATTTACCATACTAATAACTTAAGTGTATCGAATACAGTACAAGCATCATCATCAAAAACTGCAAGTCACTCAAGTTGTAACTTAACAGCATCAAGAGTCTTAGGTTATTGAATTATTTCATTTCATTTTTTAGGAATAAGCGATTTGCAATTGTAATTTATAATAACTGCTAAATTTATCTTTAATCTTTTTAAGATCAAGGAAGATTTGCAACGCCATTAATGTCAACTTACGAAATCATAGCAGATTCCGAATATTCTACCATCTCGGCTACGGAATCACCTGTTAATAATCGAAATGAAAGTAGCCACCAACTGCAAAGTACGTCGACGGTTTCAGGTTTGCTTCAAATGTTTGATAGTGATAATAGTGATGATGACACTAGTATGTATTTTAATATTTAATGTTGTTTTATAATAAACATTTTGTTCTAATATTTTAATTATAAATTCATTTAGGCTACTATGAAGAGAATTATGAAAAACCGACAAAGGGCAAGAAAAGACAAAAAAATAATGATAACGAAGACGAAGACAACAATGAGACTGCCCAATCTCTTAGAAAAAAGAATGGTAAGTTAGACTCAGATTATATACTATTGATTATTTATCATTTATTAAATGAATTTTTTTTATAAATACAGGAAAGCCCGAAGCTCTGAAAGACATGACAAACATTTTCGAAGTTTGTCAGTGGTTAGTTCTAGAAAGGCCAGATATATTAACAACAGCAAACCAAATGCGTGCTATGCAAACGTCTTTAGATTCGCCTGCTGTTACGGTTCCTCAGCCTGAAGTAACCATAGCACCAAGGAACCTTACTGATGATAAAGTACTGTATTTTTTTAGTTAAACAGATCTCTTGCAGTATGGGTTACACCTGTTCTAAATCAATTGATTAATATGTAATACATTTATTAGTGGTGTCACTTATACTGTAAGAGATCCAATTAACCTTATCTAATGTAAAAATTAAATTTGTAAATTTTATTATATAGAGTCTTGCTCGGCTATGGCATGAAGAAATGAAGTGTCTTTTTCTTAGATGTAGAAACCCACCAGATGGAGCTATTGAAAGCTTTATTACCGAAATATTTAACTATGAACTTTATAGTAATGAAGCTGTAGAAATCATTTGTCATTCAAAGCGAGTGTTTACAGATTTTCGCAGCAAATTCAACAAAAGTATAGCCGAGTTAGTACATGAATTT